AGGAATATGGTGGGGAAGATTGAAAAAGAGTTTTGAAAAGTGAAGAAAAATATATTCCTCCAATTGGAGTAAAATGAATTCACGAAGAATATGTTTTCCAAAATATTTAAACCAACCAAACATGAAAAAGTTGGAGAACATTTTCCGAAAAATATTTTCTTCATACCAAACACACCCTAATTCTTTTCATTTTAAAACCATCCAACCTAATCCCTATTAACTCAAAAATAAAACGTGTCCAAATTTATATGTTTTGCACTAGAAATCTGATGTTGTATTGTCACATCAGATATTATCATAAATGTTATTTTCTACAACAACTTTTTTTTCCATCATATTATTTCATTTCTAATTTCGTTCATTTCAAAATTACTAAAGTTTTTTCTTTGATTTTTTAATTTAATTTGTCGTTCTTAAAGTTTTTATTTATAATTTATTCTATATTTAGGTCACTGGTTGCCATTTTTCTTTTATTATTTTCTTTAATTTCTAGCTAACATATAATTTCTTTCACAATTTTCATATTTTTGAGTAATTTTAAGTGAGGTTATGATTATTCAAGATTAAAATTTAAGACAGCCGATTGTCAAATCAAGCATATGTTCCAATAGCGTGTAAGCATATTAGTAGTTTCTTTTATTCGTTTACTTGTATATATCATACAAATATTGTAAAAAGATAGCTATGCTAACTATTCATCTTCTCAATTTAACTATACATATATTGTAAAAAGTTATACTTTTGTAATCTTTTGCTTCCAAATTGAGTTTTCACCATTTCTTTTTCTTGTTGTTTTGATAAACAAAATCAAGAAATATGTTATTGTTTAAAGGCCGAATACATAGACATCCCCTCATACTTGGCATCAATTTTCATTTTCGCACTCCATCTCAGTCATGTTCCAATTTGGAACTCCAACCCCATTGTTTACGTGTCATGTTATCATGAAAAGTCCACCCGGTGTGAAAATATAAAGATGCTGTGTATAAAGTATTGAGGTGTTAACCATCCAATTAAATGTAGCCGCCTGTTTTTTATTAATCTATGTCAAATGGGTCTAACTCAGATAACCTAATCCTAAATTAATAACGAGATGGGCCATGCGTAAAGTAAGAGTCCTGTGCATTTTTTCTAAAGGTCATAAACTCGTCTAGCCTAATCCTGTTCCCCAAATCCCTGGTCGTAAGTGATTGAAATCATCGATTATAGATGATTTTTTCATTATTTGAGGACGGGAATCATATTTCATCAACTAATTTCTTTGTATAATTGGTTGATTTGGAGAGTAACTTTGATTTTTGTTGGCCTTATAAGTAATCGTTGTTTATTGTCGTGGTTCTTGTACGCGCAAGTATCGATTTGTCCATGCATTTCAGTTTTTGTTGTTGTAGTGGACTGGTGTATTGGGAAATTGATTCCAAAAAACTAAGGGTTTTAAATTCATGCACATAAATTTATATGGTTAGACTGTTTTAGTCATAAGCTGATATATGTATGTATTTGCATTTGCAGCTCGGATTGACTAAGTGAGATGATGTTGTGAGATTTAAAGTCGGTGCTGCTATGTGTAGTGGTGAACTGCTTGCTAGTTCGCAATAGCTTGGAGCTGCTCTATTTTAATATATTAGTATAACATTTATGTGGTTATAAAAGTTTATTGTTAAGGGTAAAAAAAAAATTAAATTAAGTTATTCTCAAATTTAGAAAGAAATAAGCTTTTTCAAAACAGATTGAAAATAAGAAATAAATCACATAAATTGAAGCGATTAAACGGATGGAGTACTATATTATCCTGTCTAGCTTCTGCAACAAAGTTTTGAAGTCGGAGGGAATTAAGAAAGAGACAAGATTTTCCAACTAGGAACTTTGCTGTTAAATATATAATAAATAAACAGAGACATAATTTGTTTTGATGAATTAACTAGTTATCTTTCCCTTTATCAGTAAAAGAAAAGAAAAAAGAAAATGCAATGGTACGATAACTTACTTGATTGATTTGGTGGAATACTTAAGCCCAGTGCGCGATTGAGTTATCCAATCATTGTGCGTAATGTTTAAAGAACCTATGCTGCTGCTACTCCTAATAAAGATATTTAAGGTCACTTCAATATATGAGAAAAAGTCTTAATTAAACATAAGAAGATTAGCAGTTAATTAAAATGCTCACATTTGGTATTCTGCGCCATATATTGCAACATTCCACTCACAGAATATGGTTTATAGGGGATAGGAAGCCATGAGCTCCTCAGCGTCCAGAGTCAATTGTCTAATTAAATTTTGTTGGTCATTTGTTCCTGTAATTCTGCACATTAGCCTGATTACAATAAAGCGGTTAGCCATGACACATGTACTTACTTAATTAGATCCTGTCTGACATGTGGCAATCTCATGTACGCATGCAGTTGATTAGACCAAGAAAACAAATCAAAGAAAGAAAATAGTTCTTCCAAACCATATTTTAGAGGTAGTCACGAGCAACTTTATAACGAGCCTTGTATTTAACATGCAGCAAACTCAATTAAGCAATTGATTTCAAGAAAACAAAGGAAAGAGGAGGAGCGGGTACATATGAGTTAAAGTAATCAGAAATATAGAAATGGTATCTACGAATAAAAGTCATTTTTGGTTCTCAGGATATGTAGAAAATTATTATAGATAGATATATGCAAAATCCAAAAATAAGGGTTTTCAAAATAAAAAAGACGTCTTGGCAAGAAAAATAAGAAGGATCAACAAGCGATCATTCTCATCCACTAATGTTTGGATGATGTCATGTTCGAAAAGGTAGCTGATGCAATCACCTCAAAGGAGGCTTGGGAGATTTTATAAATTCTCTCCTAGTAGTTGATAAAGTACAAAAGATAAAACCTCAAACTCTAATGGTTGATTTTGAAATTTTTAAAATGAATGAAACTGTATCCATTTTGGGTTATTTTTCAAATATGAAGGTTGTTATTAATTAAGAAGATACGGAAAAGACCTAGATGATGTCCGTGTGATAGAAAAGATCATTCGCTCTTTTACAACTAAATTTAATTATGTGGTGTATGCTATTGATGAATAGTCTAGAAATTAAGGCTCTATGATGATAAGTGGTAATTTTACCACTTATTCTAGTTCTTTTTTACTTTAGGTTAGGATGATAAATGACTTCATATAATAAGTGGTGATTTTATCACTTATTCTAGTCCCTTTTGCTTTAGTTTTCGTATCCTTTGATTGTATATGAGGTTATAGTGTGTATTACTAGTATTTCAGGTACAATGAGTCATGAAGAGAATTCAAATCAATTGAAGAGGAATTGAGCCAAAAGAGCTGAAGAAGTGAAAATGCATCCAGTAAAATTGCATCTGCACAATAATGATCGCATTTGCGGACTCGCTTCTGCGAGAAAGTGTCTGCATCTGCAGGAAGGCAGTTGTTCTGCTGAGATCGCATCTGCGAATATTGCACCACATCTGCGTTGGAAGTCTTCATCAGCGGAGTCACTCCTGTGATGCAATTTCTGTTTTTGTGGAGTAGCAATTTCCCACCATATTTGACATATACGAGCAGAATTCCGCATCTGCGGAGCGGCACCAGCAAGGCTTCTTCGGCAGGTGCGGCTAACGGGGTTCAGTTATGGACAAACTTGATTTTTCATATTTTCTTGATCCCAAACCTACAAATACTCGACCTAGCTAATCTTTGGGAGATCTTTGTCATTTTTGGGATAGAAAATACAAGCTTTGGAGTTAGGGTTCTTGCACTCACACTTGGGAGTTGAAGATTTGAAGATTTTGGATGAGATTTTCTTACCCTTTTACTCATTTCTTTAATTCCTTGATTTATATTGAATAGCTAAGTGTGTAGAATTTATTTCATTACTTGAATCTTGTTTATGGAAATATTCTATGAAAGTATGAATTAAGTCTCTTGTTATGCTTACGTATTGAATGAGTTTTATTAATTAAGAAGTGAGTTGAATATTTCTTTAATTATTCTTGTTTTTTAATGTTTCCAAACGGATTAGCTAACCTTAGGATTCAACCATTAACTTTGAATTAGTATTGGAAAAGTCAAACTTGGGGTTGAAAAAGATTAATTAACAAGAACTTGAGGTGTTAACCATCGTTTTCTAGATTCTACCTAGGGATAAGATTGAACTACTTGTATCCACATTCGGGTGTACCTAATCCTCTTAATTATTTTAGGTATAATTTAATTAGGAAGTCTTGTTAATCCCAGAAGAAGCTAATATAGAATTATTATCCGAAGCTAATTAACATAAACCCGCTCAAATTTATAAAATCGCGAAATAAATTGGATCGTTACTTGAGTGTAATTCCTCTCGTATCTATGCTTGTAGCTATTGATCATTTTACTTTTTTTCTAGGTTAGTTTATATTTTGCATTTAGATATAATATTTTCTCAGAAACCGTGTTAGTGTTTGGCTTAGCGTAACAAGCGATAATTATCTTACTTGCCTGATCTCCTATATATTGTTGCCTGTGAGGATTCGACTCTGACTCATATTTGGGTAAATTATATTTCATGTGGCCGTATACACTTAGTCTCTGATGAGTGTATTTGGATGTCATCATTTGACAATGGAGCAACTGGAGGATTCTTTACAAGCACACTAAAAAAAGATCAAGAAGAGTCGCTATAGCAACTTCTTAAAACCAAGGGATCCTTCAAGGATTATGGAGGAAAAAGGAGTGATGTGATTCTTCAAGTTAACAAATAACCAACCAAACATGATCAAGATTTTGAAGTGAAAATGTGATTTGTGGGTCGATTTTAAGAAATAATGTATCTCAAGTTTTAGGACTCGAAATCTGATGATCAACAAATGAAGTGAAAGATGATGATTCGAACTATAAGAAAGACTATTTACTCGTTCAAATCAAGTAAATATTGATGTTGCACCAGTTCAATGAAAGTTATGATTCTATGATATCAATGAACAAATTTAGATCAAGAAACGTGTTCTTGAAAGATCAAAAACTAAACAAGTTCCTAAAGTCACCATTTGGAATCAATTTACGTGATAAATAAATAACGCACGCAATTGAAAACAAGATAAAGACTATCATCACCTTGCTTGGAACCAAAAACAAGGATAAAAAAACAAAATAGAAAAAAATACTCTATTGTAAAACTAGGCAAACCTTAAAAACGTGAATTCCTCTTCTATAAGGCATGAGAACCCTTTATATAGGCCTAAGGTCTCTTCTTCAATGACTACAATTCCTATTCTAATAAGGAAATAAAATTGCTAAAGACAAGGAAAGTAAAATCCTTATTCTACAAGGAAAAGAAACTAGAATCCTACTAAAAGGAAAATCCTTATTCTAAAAGGAATAAAATAAATCCTATTTTAAGAAGGAAAGAATCTTGGCTTCTTGAAATCAATCTTGAGCTTCTTGGACTTCTTGAAAATAAGTCCATATATTTGGACTTGAGCTCTAAAACATGATCTTGGCCAAAATTAATAAAATTTAACATATATTCTTCTTTTACATCAAAGAGTCATAGAGGAAATGAACGAGAAAGAGGTCGTGGTAGTCGTGGATGAAGACAAAGTACTTATAGCAACTTTAAATATGAAGATAAATGCCACCAAACATTCGGAGGCCATGGTCGTGGATGAAAAGGATGAAGATGACGTGGTTACTATCAAGACATAAATAGAAGAAGGTATGACAAATCTAAAATTGAGTGTTATAATTATCATAATTTTGGTCATTACTCTTGGTAATGTGGTAGCAATATTAAGAGAAAGATAACATTGTTGACGACAAGAAAGAAGAAGATGAGCCAGTATTGTTGCTAGCAGTAAAGGAAGAAGATAAAGATGATTATAGCTTATGGTATTTAGACAATGGAACAAGCAATAATCCTATGTATGGATGCAAATACAAGTTTGTAGAGTTAATAAAATAGTGAGAGGAAATGTGTCATTTGGAGATACCTCAAAGATTTAAAATTGAAGAGATATGTACGATTCTAATCTCATCCAAAGAAAGTGGCCAAATTTGGTTAAAGATATTTATTATGTACCAAAATTGGGAAATAATATTTTGGGTTTGCGCTAACTTCTCAAAAAACAAAATGATATTCATATATGAAATATACATTTTTTGCTTAGAGATCCAAATTAAAATTTAATTGCTAAAGTGCATATGACGAAATATAGGTTGTTCTATTTGAATCTTAAGACAATTGAAGGAAAATATTTGAAGGTTGCATATGTGATTTGGGCATTTAAATTTTGAAGCACTTAAATCAATAGGAGAAACAATATGGTACATGAGATGTCTTCAATCAACCATCTCAATCAAGTATGTAAAACTTATCTTCTTGGAAAGCAAGGAGGTGTTATAGAAGGAGGCCGGTCAAGAGCAATCACGCCACTCCAACTTGTTCATATCGATGTGTGTTGGCCAATCGATACATCCTCCTTTAGTAAAAATAAATACTTCTTACTCTTCATTGATGACTTCAGTAGAAAGACTTGAGTTTATTTCTTGAAGGAAAAATCAAAATCTTTTATTGCATTTTTAAATACCAAAGCACTTGTGAAAAAGCGATTGTGATATAAAAATTTTAAGGTCCGATAGAGGAGGAGAATTGACTTCAAAAGAATTTAATGACTTTTTTCAGTCTTATGAAATTTATCGCCCTCTAACAGTACTTTACTCAGCATAACAAAATGGAGTTGCATTGAAAAAAGAATAAAGTAATTCTTAATATGGTTAAATGTATGTTGAAAGCTAAAAATGTGTCCAAGAAATTTTGGGCTGAGACCTTTCTTGTGTAGTTTATTTGAGCAACATGTCTGCAATAATGAATGTTAGAAATCAAGCCCCCTCAAGAAGCATAGAAAAAAAGTAAGCCAAGTGTCAAACACTTAAGAATCTTTGGGAGCATAGTCTATGCTCATGTGCCATAGCAAGGGAAAGCTAAGCTTGATGTTTGAAGTGTCAACCATATTTTAAATGGCAACGAAACGAGTTTAAAAGGCTAGAGGTTATACAACCCAAGCAATAGCAAGATAGTAGTGAGTCGTGATATTGAATTTGATGAAGATGCGGCATGAAATTGGTAGAATTTGAGAAGAAAAAACATACAGTTTCTTTCCATACTTTGGAGATAATGAACATAAAGTGATTGTGCTGCCTATGGGAGACACAACCCACCTCCAGTTTCTTATTAGGACTTTATATTAAGTTAGGTATTGTCTTCTTCCAGTCAAGGGAGCAAAAGGTCTATATATGTATGTGTGTGTGTATATATATATATATGATAATTTCGTACAATA